TATCGAGGGGTAGTCAGAAAAAAAAGTATCGCAACGGCTCGGTGTCTGTTAAAAAAACCGATTTTTTAGGGTCGTACATGACACATATACAGCCCTAAACGTAAATGCTGCATCACATGCATTTATGTCTACGTGCATGACCGACGATAATCCATACGAGTAATTCATAACTTGCATGCTGATAATAAAAGGAACTCCATGGGGACTTCTCATTCATCTGCCTGTACCTAGCCTGAACGCTGTTTGTTTTGATATCAATAAAATAAATTCTTTTTTGCTTTACTAAGTATCTCATGACGCAATACCGTCCACACATTTAACACAAATAATGTATCAGATATACTATGTTATATTTTGCACGTATAGCGCTATACATGTGCTATACGTGCAAAATATAACTTTTATGCTTCTACTATGATCATAAATCTATGACAGTGTAATAAATAATTAAGCGCGATTAAACTATTGTACCAGTAGTGATAAATCGGGAAAGAGGAATATCGATTCATACATATTTTTTTAGAAACTGGTAATAATATTTCCAGCGGTGCCTGTCAAATTGTTTTTTTTTTCACTGACGGTTCTAATTTCGAGCAGATTATTTGGTAAATATTTCAGTGTTTATAATTATTTTCATCTATTTCCATTAAGCTGAGTTGATTTTTGATTTGATCTAACCATTTTATAGATAGATAAACTTGAAAAAGGGAAGGCAAGAATTATTAATATAATGACATTTGTTATATCGTTATTCGTATTACCCGTCGAGCTAGAGAAAAAGTATATTTAATTATTGAATCTACACATAGGACCCTACAAAATAAGGTAAAAACCGTCATTGTACAAAATTTTTCGTAGCGATACTACAGTCCATACTACGATGGGCATTCTCCTTTCCGTATTTTTTCGAAACTTGCACGGGAATCAAAACCTACAGGGTACTTCCCGTGAACTTAGAATCTTTATATTTGGTACGAAGTAACGTCTTATAGTACAGACAGATAAAGCAAAAATTGCAAAAAACCGTAAATTTTTAGTTACATCATAATAAAAAATATTTTTGAAAATCCAGGTTTGTTGGGAACCCTCGGTGTGCGATCCGATTCGCACTTGGGCGGTTTTTTTTTTATATAATTGTTGTTTTTGTTTATCTTACATTTATCATAAGATTTTATAAGGTTCCATGTCGATTTGCAAATTAATGTTCTTACTTTTCCTTCACTATTTAATTTGTGTGATTTATCAATTAAAACCATTAGAACATTCAGAAAACATCTCAAAATATATCTTCTTCATTTACAAAGTTTAGAATAAAATTCAAAACTAACCTAGTTATATTCACGTCGCGCCGGTTAGTTTGGATCGTTCCGGTTATCTTAGCTAGCACTATCGACGATTCACGTAATGTTTGTTGGTGATTTGAAGCCATATTCTAATATAAAATCTCGCCATCCAGTTTGCTATGTTTATATGGTTATGTTGTATATCCATGCCAATAATCGTAATCGTATTAATCGTTGCGTACAGGCATGGATCGGCAGTAGAAATACTATAAAATTTGCAATTTCTTTTAATTATTAGTTTTTTATATTAGTTTTCTTTCTTTTGACGTGACAACGTCTTAAATTAGGTTGCGGCTGGGAGTCACTTATGAAAAAGTGTAACGCTCGGTAACGTTACGATGAGTCTCTCGTGTTAAGTTTAAGTTTACATGTACAATGTTTTAGTAAACAAAATATATTTCTATAGTTAAAATTTGTGCAATTCTTATTTTCATTCAATTCCTTGTTCCTATTGTGCAATTTAATTATATTCATATCAATAAATATTCTACCGAGAAAAAGACGTTGTCACGTAAAATCTTCGCCCGTAAAACCGACTTTACAGGCAACCATTTTTGTTTTTTGTTTAGGTCATAGAGTAACTTTGTATATTAGGTCTTCCAGTCTGTAGTCTGTCCTACCACAGATAAATCATTCTTTTTTTATTTTTTCTTTTAAATTTTTTGTACTTTTTCTGTAAAGTTAAGGATTATGAAAACATTCAGCCTAATTTGTTATTATCTTTTTTTTCCTTTTTTTTTAAAGTGTACATTGGTATGGTTGTATTATAATGTCGCATCTGTGTCATCAACCTTAGGCCCTGCCAAAATCACCAGCGCTGCAGCAGCCCTGGTGTTGCTGCAGTATCAAGCTGAGGCAGGGACCTAGTTGACCAAAAAAAAATATATATATTTTTTATTGTTCTTATTTTAGGTTAAAAATACTGTTAATATATATTATATATTTATATAAAAATACTGTAAATAGTTTAGTTATGGTCAATAAAATTTCTTTCTTTCTTTCTTTTTCTTTCAATGCATCTTTGAGCATACTATTATATTTGTTGTATAACTTTTTATTGTAATGATTTGGCTTTGCATAATATTTAAAGCGTAATGTCTGTTTTGTGGCACATGACTTCCATATGCCATTTGTGAGCCATTTACAAGCATTTGATTTATTGGTCCGTTTAATTTTTCTCACAGGAAAACAACTACAATAAAAGTGTCAACATTTCATGAAAACGGTTGCGTTTCGTCGTCAGAAAATTTTAACCCCACCGCTACATGAACATGAAACTTAGCAAAATACTCATTTAAATCTTTTGCGTTAACCTCAGAGCCCAAGTAAGACTAGAAAACAGCTTTAGCGAATTGGTTGATATTTTCCAAACTGTAGTCTCTTCTATACAAACACTAAACATTACACCTGACAGACCAGACCCATTTTTCATTTTTGTTTTTGCTTGATTTCTTTAGATTTCGATTCTTATTCTCTTTTTTTTTGAGTATGCTATGGATTCATTTTACGAATGAAAACACCTTATACAACCGGTGACAGTATAAGATAGCGCGATTCACATGCGGACAGCGCCATCTAGTAGCGGTCGGCATGATAATATTTGATGCTATGATCTTACATACAATCGGTGTCGGCATAAGATACCACGATTCACATGCATACAGCGCCATCTAGTAGCGCTCGGCGTGATGATATTTAATGCTATGTTGTTACAAGCCGATATATTATAATTTTCATAAATACTGTTCTTCCTGAGATGAGTTAATTTTGTCGCTAGTCCAGAGCACTTTGGTGTACCGTATCTATTTATTTTCCTTAACTTAGTAGTCTCATATTTATATGTGGATTAAATGTTTGGTGCTTCCGGTGCTTGTCTTGTGTCGTTGACATTGGAAGAAATTTCTGTATTGAAGTTGCTGTGTGAATTTACCTTACTGGCTTATCTTGCGTATAAATAAACTTTAACTGTATGATATTCGAAATAATAATATATACAGGAACAATGAACCTAAAACTAAAAACCATATAAAATATAATATAATAACTAAAATATATTATTAAAAGGGGGACTTTAGGAAAAGTTTCAAGATACTGGCAGCGTTCCCTCTTTGAATAGCTAAACTAATTATTTGTACGAGGTAGCTGCCAGCTCTTCGGTCTCCAGTGATGACGACTAACCTTTTTGATATTTCCTTAAAAAACCTTATAGCGTTAGGACCCCACGGACCAAGGGTCTCGACACCGAATGGGACAAAATCATATTCGGAGCATAGACCCCTGTATTTGCATGCTTTTGCTTTTTCAGCTGCTTCACAAGCCGCACCAGCTCTGTTGTTGGTTCCATGTAGATGGGAAGGGGCCAGCGTGTCTGAACAGGTTGCATCCCATACCAGTACCCGGCCCATCTTCCATGGAATCAAACTCATACCGTCCGGTCTCTTGCTATCGTCTCTTGCAATACCAGTCGGCTCAAAAGTCTTAAGTCTTGCCTATTAAATGTTTCATCATCATCATCATCAGCCTATTAATGTCCCCACTGCTGGGGCACAGGCCTTCCCTATGGATGGAATAGGGAGATTGGGCCATGACCCACCACGCGGGCCCAGTGCGGATTGGTGGGTGCTAACGACTGCAGATGCAGCCGGGACCAACGGCTTAACGTGCCTTCCGAAGCACGGAGGAGCTCGCGATAGTAAATTTTTTTTGGTCACCCATCCAATGACCGACCACTGCGAAAGTTGCTTAACTTCAACGATCGCAGCCGAACGCGCTAACCACTTGCGCCATTGAGCTCCTCATCATTAAATGTTTGTATAGGATATTTCAGATCTGAGACATCTTTTTTTTTGCTGATGTTTCTTTGTGTCTTTTTCGGCATTAGTGTTTTAGGTTTTGTGTTTGAACAAAATGTGTAGCAGTTCACTGATCCTGAGTATTTTTCCCGAGTTTACATTGTTCCCGAGTAATAACTTATCAATTTCAGATGTGCACAATTTATTTGATTTAATATTTTCTCAATTGTAATTATTAAGAAAATATAATAATTGTCACTAAGTTTACCTACCCATTTCAACGCCAAGGACACGTTTACCGACACGAAATGAAATGTATTTCATAAAGATTTTTTATATTTCATTTATTTAGAAACCAACTGCGTTACAAATTATACCAAATTGTACCCACATGGGTCTAAGTATAATTTTAACTTTACCTTTACAAAAGTATTAAATAGGTATTTGAAAGAAAAAATAGCGATAGTAGTTATATACATATAACTGCAAGGAGCATATAACTAGCAGTTAAGTGCTTAAAAAAAATACAATGTGTTTCATATTTCAATCATGGCCGGACTTCCAAGTCATGAACCGGATATTATTTTTTAATTTTTACTTCCGTTTTCGATTTTAAAATCAGTTTTTAATTTAGTTTAAAAATAATTTTAATTTCATCCATTTTTAGCGACAATTATAAAAATGCTCACAAAATGAAACTATTAGCTTGACTGAGTCACTAGTGGTCGCGTTTAGTGGCTGCCCCTAGTGACTCAATGTGCGCTTGGTCTTAGAGTAATCGGGGTTTAAACAAAATCGTGAAATTACATCGTCCAAGTTTTGATTTTAATTTCTATATATACTCACAGTCGTATTCAATTGACAGATAGAAGAGATCCTTCAAACCCTGGGTCTTTGGGAACACAAGCACACACGCTCGGAACACCTCTCCGGGGGTCAGTCAAAGCGCCTCTCGGTCGCCCTGGAGCTGGTCAACAATCCACCAATCATATTCCTGGATGAACCTACCACGTAAGCTAACATTTAACTAAATAATAATATATGTAATATAATAATAATTTTTATTCAGAAAAGGTCTGCATTGCATAATAATAATAAATAATAATAATCAAAAGAACAAAATAGAGGTTGCCTTACTATATAAATTGTAACTGTATTTCAAGCTTGATTGAAAATTGAAAATAATAATACGGGCAATGATGAAATAGATATTAGAATATCGATTATTTTTGGCAAAAGTTATTCTTAACTAAGCCATACACCATAAAGGTTGTTTCGGCTAGCTCTTGATTGGACTAAAATACTAGACAGTAAATTTTTTACAAAAAAATAATAAAAAAATAACCCCTGTGACGCGACTGGTTTTCACTACGGGTTTCACAGTGTTGGAGTCGCCTGCTTACAGGTCACCCCGGTACTCCCGGGTTCGAATTCCGGTGGGGGAAATGTTTGTATGATAAATACGAGCATTTGTATCTAAGTTATTGATGTTTATTATGTATTTCTAGATCAATATAGTATCCCATAACGCAAGCCCTATAGTGCTTACTTTGGGACAAGGCTTATTAGTGTGCGTTTTATAAAATCTGTCATTCTGTAAAAAACAGTACGATTCAAACTTTATGGCCATTGTGAAGATAGCAGCGAACGCAACTATGAACATTATCCTACATTTCGTTTACTGCTGCGCGACTTATACTAACTTCCTTGCCGATATTAAGTTTGAATCGCAGTCTGCCGTCTTTGTGGCATGCAATTAGGAAAAATAATCAAATCAGTAAGTACAGCTTGTTGTGAGTGCGCAGGTTCTACGCACAGGCTACCAACCTAGAACTTTAACCGTATATGTAGTTGCCAGATTAGGACAACATTTTAGGCTCAGCCATTGCCAAGCGTAGAGTGCCGTTGAGGAGTAAGTTTGGTAAAAAAAAGAAAAGGCAAGCGAATTTTTTTCTCGAATGGGATGGGTGCACATTCACCGAATTATCTTTGGTTTAAGAATAGAAGCTTTCGCAATAAATCGACAGTTTACCAATCTAGAACACAATATTACTGCTTATCATACAACTGTACAAGCTGTAGACCACATTTCATAAAACTAAAGATACTTACTCTTCCATGTATATATATATATTTGAAATTAGTAAAATGGTGCGCAAAAATAGACATTTATATAAACATATTAGTGATACATATTTTCAAACACGTAATTTAAGTAATAGAAAAAAATTGGCAATATCGTTTACTAAATTACATCTGGTAAGCTCAGGAACATACCATAATTATGTCTGTTAAAATATATAATAAAATACCGAACCATATAAAAAACATTGAAAAAGATTGTACATTTAATAATAATTTAAAACAATTTCTTATAGATAAGTATTATTATGATTTGAAAGAGTTCTTAAATGATAAATTTTAATGATACCTAATAATCTGTATTATTTTTGTGTGTGTATGACATTATAAATTTTGTATATGACGTTATAATTAATGATGTTAGACTAATCGATTTGATTTTTTATGACGTTGACCTAAACCGAAATTATTAAACCAAATTATAATGAATATTATGTGAATGAATTTTGAATGGATTATTACTTTGAATGTTATTGTTACTTGTTTATTTATTTTTTGTTTTGATTGACATACATCTCTGGACCTAACCTTAAATGTATTTTATAATTGCTTAAAGTATTATATGAATTAATTTAAAAATTATATTTTTTATTAACTTATTTCAATTTTCTATCTATCTTAAATTGTTATCCTATTGTAATTTTATCAAAATTTAAAATTAATATCTGTACACATATCACTACATAGTATAAAACAAAGTCGCTTTCTCTGTCCCTATGTCCCTTTGTATGCTTAAATCTTTGAAACTACGCAACGGATTTTGATGCGGTTTTTTTAATAGATAGAGTGATTCAAGAGGAAGGTTTATATGTATAATACATGCATAATATAGTAGAGAAACACTGATAATTTTAGAGGTTTTTAATGTAAGGTCGTAAATAAACACATTTTTTGCGCTTACATTGCAAACGCTGGCTGAACCCCACGAGATAGATCAAAATAATATACTACAGTATTGTACACCTTAAAAAGGTCTACAAAAAAGTCCGCGATGGTATATGTCTATCTCTTAAGGATAACCCACAATAACCAATTTTTATCCTATACTTTTTACGAGAAATAATAGATTATTTACGAAGCGATTTTAAGCAATATAACATTCATCCTTATCCAATTAAGTACCTTACATACATTGTGCATTACATATAGAACAATTTGGCCCTTTAACGCATATAATTTAAATGAATATTTTCGAAGATATTACAAATTTAAAATTCAGGGACATAGCGATTCCGACGCTACCGGGCTTGGCGGCGCGTGCCTATTGTAATTGGGTATTAGAAGAATGTCATTGTGTATAATACAAGCCTGAGAACAAAAACTATAGTCTACACTACAGCAGCTTTACACCGAAGCGAAGCGAGGGCGGGCCACTAGTTTATTATAATTTGCAATTCCCTTGCAGTGCTCATGTTTGCGAGCTGTTATTATATTTAAGAACTAAATGTAACCAACATGAAGCAGTAAATATTATGACTATTATGACTGTACGGTGACATAATAAGCTACAGATGTCCCATGTCCAAACATTCCGTTAATATCCGGAGACGGAAAAAAACAGGAAAACTACTTATGCCGAAACTGTTTCGTAGAAATGGCACATTACTCATAATCACTTCTTTCGAATAAAGCTCTGAATTATAGACTGAAAGATACGATAGAATAAAATATTTTTTCGGGTATAAGAGTAAAGTTCACTTCTCAAATTGGACATGTTTTTTAAAACGTTCATACGTTATTTATTAGTGTATAGTGACTCCATATAAAGTGGATAATTATAATTCTGTTGCGTATATCAGTAAAAAAACTATAATAAAAAATGCGTTTTCAACTAAGCCGCGGAAACGTGTCTCTAGCCAATGTCATCTTAAGGTGCTATCCCACGATGTGTGTTGTCGCAGGCGAGGTCGTGCCGCGCAGGTTTGCCAAACGTATGAGAACTGTAACGTTTGAAATTTAGCAGTATCTAATCTATACATGATTCGAGGTGACGATACGATTGTACGAATAAGGATGCATTTAGTGATGGCATAACGAATCTGTACTTACTGAGACGACCCTTTGTGGACTGGACATTTATTAACTTTCTGCTATTATTTTTGATTTCTGTACATGATACAAACAGTAAACATTGTTCAAATCTCATATCAAAGTCTACGAGATTGCTATTTACCTCGTATCATGTACTGCTTTTAATAATTCTCATATGTTTGGCAACCATGCGCGACGCGTCCTCGCGCGCGACATCACACATCGTGGAAACGCACCTTTACAGGCATGTGACGTCAAACAGTACAAGTAATTTCACTCCGACAGCATGTTTACAAGCAGGTTACGTCATTTTAGACTCCACCAACCCTCGCCGTTTTCGGTCACGTGACAATAGATCAAAAAACACTTTTTAATACATAATTTTTGGTTATACCTATTATCAATTACTTTCTTTTTGTCGGAATAGTGAAATCGATCCCAATATGCATTTTAGAAACACATGCCAATAATTACTACTTTATTTTTCATACTGTCAAATAGCCAATTGATACATAAGACACAAAGAAATCTGATAAATAAAACCAACATCTGATACGAACCGAAATAATTAAATAAATAAATAAATAAATATTTTCAACACTCACACCAATTACCCTAGCCCCAAAGTAAGCACTGTAAGGCTTGTGTTATGGGATGCTAGGGTAACGGATACAATACATATACTGTACATATATAAGTATATTTATATAGAAATACATATTTAACATCCATGACTGGAGTACAAATGCTCGTATTCATCACACAAACATCTGCCCCCACCGGGATTCGAACCCGGGACCTCTCGAGTCGGCGCCACCATGTAACCCGGCGTACAAACCACTCGGCCACGGAGGTCGTCAAAATTAACAATCAAACACACTTGGTGCACTTGCAAAAACTTAGCTTGCCTTCAATATGTTTCCTTTCCTCATACTTTCATTATAAGGGTGCTAAGAGAAAACAATTAGAAGCCGCAAAAAGATCTAACATAATCCCGTTATAACTATGGAAAGAAAAGATTCCGGGATTTAACAAGAGTAATTGGTGTAATTAATTTCATCCCTTCCGAGTTTGCGTTAATACAACTGTACAGAATTCCCAAGGGCCCTCGAAAATAATGATATTAGATAGAATTTCCACAGTGTGCCTCGGGGGCGGCGGGCGGTACAACCTCAAAGTAAATATTGTCATACAAATGTTTCCCATTTTGACGTACCTCCCTACTTTGATGAGGTTAATTATTATACATATACTAGTAAATAGGACTTATAATGTAAATAATGAGTTGTTCTTAGAAGCAGAAGGTTTAGAGACTAAGTCGTTAGTGCATTGCTTATGTAAACGTGATAGCATTAATAAGGTCACACATACATCATCGTACTACAACCAACATCCCCGCCGCGTCTGACTGTCTGTTCGCGATGATCTGAAAACTACTTCTTCACTTCGTTTCGGTTCTTACTACGGTTTTCACCATCAGATAAATGATTTTCAAGTCAGAGAACAAAACGTATAGTCTAACTATACCATGTCAGAGACAAAAACGTATAGTCTAACTATACCATGTCAGAGACAAAAACCTATAGTCTAACTATACCATGTCAGAGACAAAAACCTATAGTCTAACTATACCATGTCAGAGACAAAAACGTATAGTCTAACTATACCATCGTTTACACTGCCATTGACTTTTTGACCTTGTTCTGACGTTAAGCTCGTTTTTTGGCAGGGCATTATCGAACTCCTTTTTATACCTTTTTAACTAAGTTTATTTTGATATTATTACAATTTTCAGAAGTTCATTCCAATCGACAAGCTCCATAGCACAGTGGTTAGTG